TATGTCTAAAAAACAACCTGGTTGACTTTTGGATGGAACTTCTCTATATAGGGATGGAGCCTCCAAAGTCAACCCGGGTGTTTTTTCAGTTTGTATGGATTGTCGGTCTAGTTTGTCATTTTTGTCCACCATGTTCGTACTGTTTGTATGTCTAAAAAACACCCGGGTTGACTTTGGGAAGGAGCCCCTCTATATAGGGATGGAGCCTCCAAAGTCAACCTGGTTGTTTTTTCTTTTTGTATGGTTTGTATTGTTTGTCAGTCTAGTTTGTATTGTTTGTATAGTTCATACGTTTGTAATGTTTGTAAATCTGTTTGTGTGTTTTGTCGCTCTAGTTTGTACTGTTCGTATGTTTGTATGGTTTGTACTGATTATAAATCCGGTTTGTATACTTCGTAATTTTCATAATACCCAAACTACTCCTGTCATTAATTAAATAGCCCTTCCCACTTTTTAACCATTGGATTGAATTGTCCAGATCTAATGACTAGGAGGGGCTTAGTCAAGTGACTAAGGACCCCCTTGGTGATGGGATCCGCTCTCGACGCCCGCCGTTAACTAATCAGCAGCATGCAGCTTAAGAGTGCAATATTATCCATCCACTACAAAAAATAGGGTCTACGCCAAGGGTTCTACATCAAGGGTTTTAAAACCCCTGCTATGTTTTCAATAATTCACTTTAGCGACGGTTTATTTCAAGGGTATGAAAACCCTTGCTACACACTTAATTTAATTTCACCCATATTCTATTACTCAGTTTGGAAATCGAAAATCCCTATTTCAACGATTTTCTTCATCTCTTTCTTGTCCCTGTTCGATGATTCCGCCGCTCGCGAGAGAGATCTCGGAAGAGAGTTCGCTGATTCCGCTAGAGCGCAAAAGAGAGGTAGGAGAGAGAGCTCCTGATTTGGCCGGAGCAAGAGATTGGAGAATCACGACGGAGCGAGAGAGAGAGAGAGAGAGAGAGAGAGAGAGAGAGAGAGAGAGAGAGAGAGATCGCAGAATCACTGGATAAGTCGCTCGCGTCCGAGATCATCACCGGAATCCGACAATCGCCGTCCACGTTAGTCAACTGCCTCATCCTTCCTCGCGTCCTCCGATGGAAAAGGTATCTCTTTCGCTCTCTCTGTCTCTCTCACACACACAAGCTCTAACTACGTTATGGATTCAACTGGTTTTGGTTTTTGCTACTATGAAGAATAAATTGGTAGATCTCAAAAGCGAAAAAGAGGAGAACAGTGACTAATTTGATTGAGGATCAAGGTAATTTATACAAATTAGTTTATTCGGGCTACTATGATCGAGCATAAACCTGTAAGAGTTTCCCATCAACATAAGCAGAGTCTCTATCCACTTTGCATTTGTATATTAGTCACTTCTGATTATACTATATCCACGGTGATGTTGTGATTTTGTTTATGACTTTTAGTCGGAAGAAAGAAAGATGCAAATGTGGTTACAAGCATGGGTTGTTCATCTCAAATGCTGTAGGAACCTTTGAGATCAGTGGGAAATCAGGTAGCTTCTCTACTACTATCACTACAAGGAGTTTTTGTGATTGATAAAAGCTTATTTCTCTGTATGAATGTTCTCTTAAAGTGGTAGACGTTCTGCTTTAACAACCTTAACCATTGAACATGTGTAGCTACCCTTGGTTCCTTTCATTCTCATCTCTGTGTAACTTCTCTTTTCCCTTGAAAATGGTTGATGTCGTCTCTATTGGTAGATGAATAATGACAGTGGCAACTGTAAACACTATTGTTCTTGGAAATGGTTGTTGATTACTGCTCCTGAATCTCTTGATTGGTAAACTCTATGCTTCTCCTAATTGTGGGATTTTCGTGTTTTGGGATGTGCGTTGGCCTGATTTAGGATTGATCTTCGTGATAGTTTAGTAAACAAGGCTTGAAATAATTGTGGGAACATCAATTCGGGGTTAGAGTGACCATGCTTGGAGAAAAGGATAGCTAAAGGGGAATTTGGTATAGGGGTTACCTGTATCATGGACGGCTAAAAGCGCTTGCTGGTGCAGCTTAGGAGAATGGGATTGAATTCCGAAATCAACTAGGTTTGTTTGATTTCTGGTTTATGTAGTTCAAATCTATTCTTCCCGATCGGAGTACAAAAGTCGACATTTCATTAGCCGGTACTTTTGATGGTGTTATTATATCTTTCTCCATGTTGATTGTTGGCCTGCTGCTTTCATCAAATCATGCTGCTACAGAAGTGAGAAGACTTGATACAGGTAATTCATAATATCCTATTTCAGGGCTCTTTACTTCTAGGATTAATCAGTAGAGCTACTCTTGGTTATGCGTATGTCCCTCAAACATAAATCCCTGAGACTTTTATCATTAATGCTCAGCAGAAAAAAGAAAAAAGGAAGTGGCCTTGGGAATCTGATTCATACAAATTGGTGTTATAAATATACATAGCAATGCATGTTGCAACAGTTTCTATTCATCCTCTCTTGATTGATGGCTGGTTAAGACTCAACTTCTTTTTCATGAAAAACGATGAAATATCCTTACTTACTATACGGATCGTTCTCTTATTAGGTATGGCTTAACTACAACAGCTTTTAATCTACTGCCAGTAGGAAGCCTTGATGGTGGAAGAGTCGTCCAGGTAACTTTTAGCTTCTGAGTAGAAGCATACAAGCCACTAATTTCACCTCATTTTACAGGGTGCCTTTGGTAAAAGTGCCCTTGTTGGATTTGGGTTGTCAGCTACAAGTCTTAAGTACTTAGGTATGAAAAACCACATGTTGGTTTCATGAGTTGACAAGGATCTAGATACCTTTACTGGATGCGTATGCCATTCTGTTCATTTTTGCAATTATGCAGTCTGACTACTCGATAGTTTTACCAGGGTACACACTTGCTTTCTAGATGCAACTAAATCTTTTACATTTCTCGAGTTGAATACTTTTGCCCCTTACGAATATAGGTCAATGTTTGGAGTCCTGAGTCGACCCAACTGTGGCAAAGAACTGTTTTTCCCTCATCGGGTAGTCATTGACAAGCTCCACGAAAGGTGCCTCACCAAATCACTAGCCCTTATTGCTCACTGATTCAAATGAATCGATGATATTTGTTAGTCAATTTCATTGCTTTTGAATTTTTTGAATTTCTTCGGCCACCATTAAATAATGCTAAATGGCCAACGCAGGTTTACTTTATTTAATTTGCTATATCAGTTGATCTATTTATACAATAAACTAATGTCCTGCATTTTAGAGTTTTGGGATAAGCAAGTTTAATTTCTCCTATATTTCAGACATAGTGAGTTACTACATTTTTTCATATTACAGACAACTGGTCTAAAGCAAGGAAGAGCAATAGTGAAAACATGCTTTTGTCCTTCATTCAACTAAGTTGACTGCTTTACTTCAAGGGACCAGTTCAGCTTTGCTACATTGAGGGATATGATCAGGTAAAGATTTTTGTTATTTTCTGCAGTAATATGTAATGGAGTTTTTATGTCGATCATATTTCTCTCAGATGGTTCAGAATGGTGAAGGTAAAATGCCAGCATAACTCTCCAACATGTATAAATGTTAATAAGGTTCACCACAAAATGGTTTCAGGGTTCTACCCAATCAACAGAGTATCTAATAACTTTTGTTTTTGCATTCCGGAGAGCAGTTTATTTGACAGTAACAAGCTCACTGGCAACATTCCCCCAACTCTTGGACAAGTGAGCTCATTGGAGGTCCTGTAAGTGATCCCATCTTCCCTCTTACTCAATTCAAGATCAATAAACCACTCTACATTCCCCATTATGTACACAAGTCACTAATAACCTTCTCTTCAATTTACCTTCTGATTTCATACGATTGGATTGGATAGGAACTCGTTAACTGGAACTATCCAAGGCGGCTTGAACAATCTCGCAAGTCTTACTGAATTGTAAGTAAACAATGAGCTTCTACTTGCTTCTAAAATTACTAGTGCTTCTACTGTACTTGCAGAATTGGTTTCTTAAAACATATCAGTGTTACAACAGTGGTGACAAATTTATAGTCCAACCAAGGAGCAAGTGTTCATCAGGCTCTCGCATGCACCTGGCTTCTAATAGGAGTTATATTTCATGAAGGTGTACTCTAGATGTTTTCTAGGGTTTATAATATGTTTAGATATTTTGAATGTCATGTGAATTATATTGTTTTAAGATTGTTAATCATCGTACGGTTATGATGTGATTGAATATCATAATAACAATATTACAATTTATTGAAGGAATTTTTTTTTCGGTCACTATTTATTGATTTTGAGCAATTAGAAAAACACAATTTGTGGTTCTCTCAATTGGAATAAACAAAGCTTTGGCAAAAAAAAAATGGAATAAACAACGAAAACCAATCTTGATTCACATATAGTGACACGAAGTTGTAACTTTTGTGACGGAATGTCTCACTTTAGCAACGACATAATGGTACCGAAAGATACAGTTAGGTTGGATATTAGCGACAGCCTCGTCTGGTGACAAAAAGTGACACTAATTTATTTTAATTTCAGCGAAGCATAGCATGGGTTTTAACCCTTGCTACATGTAAGTTATGTGTCTGGTTCCTTTTAGTTTTGATGAGGTATAGCAAGGGTTAACAACCCTTAGTACAACCCTTGCATGGGACTTCCACCAAGGGTCGCCTAAAACCCTTGCTACATGTAGTAAGGGCAGCATTGCCAAGGGTTGGTCCATGGGTTGATAAAACCCTTGTTATATCTTGTAGCAGAGGTTAAAATCCTTGCTATATGCGAAAATAACCCTTGGCGTAGACACTTTTTTTTTGTAGTGATCGCCCCTTCATTCTTTCTCGAAACAAGAGCATTTTTTGATGATTTTATCTGTTTAAATTTCACATATTTCTACAAAAGAAAACTAATGAAGTCATGATGACAAGTTGACAACCCCTTTGAGCTAGGAAACTTTAAACCAGTAAATTAAGTCCAAAGTTAAACACAAACTTAAATTAAAAAGTTGGAGTAAAGATTCAATAAAAAATAAACATAATAATTATCATACTCGCAAAAACACATAGTTCGTGAAATTTATTACAACAAAAGCAACAAGAACAACATCAACCAATCGATACCACCGTGGAACCCTACTTTTGCTAAATCGGTTTCTTAATAAAAGATCAACATGTGATATTATATATTATCACTGACGGCCGCCGTTAATTAATCAGCAGCATGCAGCTTAAGAGTGCAATATTATCCATCGCCCCTTCATTCTTTCTGGGCTCATGGATCATATTGATAACCTCCTCCATGCGGCGAATCACCCCTCACCTTCCCTACAAGGCTACAACCATAAAAAAAAACTCTACTGACATTTTTCAATTGTAAAAATTCAATGAAAAAAATAAAATGTTATTCTTACGTGTTTTTTTTAGATATCAATATTTTAAACATCAATAAAATAAACGAGACTAATAATATCAACGTTGTCAACCAGCCTGCTGATATTAGATCTCTCTTCAATTTAAACATGAAGGGTAAATACAATTTAATATCCAAACCTTTCATTTTAAACAATATAATAGCCAAACCTTTTCGAAAACAATCTAATATCCAAATCGTCAACTTTTCGTTCGTTTGACCGTTGGTTGACACTTCAAAAAAGCTTTGTTTAGGAGAAATTGTCATAATACAACTTTGTTTTCTTGTTTTGGCATTGCAGATGACTAAATATTTAGATATTCTATACCATCATGGTGGAGTCATGGACTTCTCGGGTTTGGAACTACGACATGTTGGTGGTTTTTCAGAGAAGATATCGATGGATATTGATGAAGTGTCGTACTTCGAACTTTTTTGAAGTGTCAACTAACGGTCAAACAGACAGAAAGTTGACGATTTGGATATTAGATTGTTTTCGAAAAGGTTTGGCTATTATATTGTTTAAAATGAAAGGTTTGGATATTAAATTGTATTTACCCAAACATGAATTACAAACCATACCCAACATCTATGAGGGAATTGGACCTTTCCTTTATGCTCTTCATCTTAAATACATATCTTTAGCTTTTTTTCCGATGTTTATTTACTTGTCTGTACTTGTTTTTCTCTCAACTTTCCGGTTTTCCCTCGGTGACCAAGGATCGAGATGTGTGGATTTTCAACCAAGTCTTGATGTCATTTTTTCATGTGTAATGTATATTTTTTTTATCCAAACAATTTTCAGATGATTTTTTTATTAATCAAACCTATCGAAATACTAAGAATTAGTCAAATGTTAACATTCAGTTAGCAATTTTGTTAGTAATATTGACTTGGCAACATGATACTAATTTGAAAGAGACACATGAAAGTCAACATTCCAAAATTTTATTATTTTAACTAAGAAAAAGGGGAAGCTCGATCGTCTCAGATTATTTATTATACTGCACAGATAATGGGAGTAAATGACTTGAAAGAAGATGAATTATATTTATAGATATCTCAAAAAACTAGTAAAAATTGTCACAAAAAATTTCACGAACATGTTAAATTAAATGTCACAAAAGAATCCAACAACAGGTGATAAAACGACGCTTAAGTGACATACATTAAAAACGTTGGTGCAAGTCTAATACGACGTTTTATTGTATTTTTTTGATTCAGACGTCTCAAAAGTCAAAATACAGGAAACATAAACAATCACGAGGTCGATCGAGATGAGTAGAGGCTTACGAAAATCTATTTTGACGACTCCAATCTCCGGCAGGACTCTGGAAGCCGTCGCCGGGGGTAATAAGAGAGCAATGAACACCGCCATCACCGCCACTGCCACCACCAGTTTCCACCAGCCAACCATAGTACTGTTCTTACTAGACACCATGGTTTAATTTGAGCTCAATGTCTGATATATGATCAGAAGTAGTGGTGGCAATTGGATCGGATTCGTGGATCCGTGGATCGGATTTGTGGATCCATGGATCAAATGGATTGGATCCAATGGATTGGTGGATTCATGGATTGGATCCAATGGATTGGTGGATTGATCCATGAATCCAAATAACATCCAAGGCTTGGACCAAAATGTAAATTTTGAAAAGTTTAGGTACTAAAATGTCATAATGGAAAATTTTAGGTACCAAAATGTAATTTTCCAATGATATTTTTTGTATAAAAATATAAATTTTAGGTACCAAAATGTAAAATATAAAAAATATAGGTACCAAATCGTAATTTGCCATTTGGATCGTGGATTGATCCATGAATCCACCAATCCAATTGGATTTGGATCAAATGGATTGGATTTAAATGGATTGGATTAGATGGATAATTTGGTGGATGGATTGGATTGGATTCATGGATTTGGATCCTAATTGCCACCTCTAATCAGAAGTGCTTGTGCCACCTTTTTATAGAGGGCTTTAAGTCTTTCTAGTCAAAGGTACATGTCCATTAATATTCCTTCTTCCTATAGCTGCTCTGACTTGCAAGTGGTAACCAGATATTGATGGGTTATCAATTGGTGGCTGTACCGAAAACTCGTCAGTCACGTCTATTATGAGCATCCACATCAATTACGAATTTTACTGTGTTTGTGAACGAAGAAGATGTGCCGCTAAGTAGATGACTCGTTCTGTCATTGACTCATTTGTAAAATTCGGGAGAATGAAAAAAAAAATCGAGAGGAGACGAAGCAATGACACGGAAAACAAATCTATATAGAAGTGTGTTTACATTAAAGAGGTAAGGATATACTTGAAAATTTTGGACTAAATAACGAGTCATTCGGCCATTTCGTAATTAAAGCAAACGACCATATCCCTAATTTTCAAAAATCAAGTTTTATCAAAACCCTTGATTAAGCAAACCCTTTTATGTGGAAATCTATTAGCTTTTTCAACCTTTGAGCGAACTTTATTCGTGAAGACTATTAGTTATTCATGCAATAATAGTACTAACTACTAACAGAGATTGTTAGCACGCGCTAACAGTTTGTGTTGTTAACACTATAGTCAGATTCGTTAGTGATGATAATCCGCTCAGAGGAATGTACTGGCAAAAATGGTGATACTGATATGAAAAGAGATTAAGAAAAGATGAGTATATATATGCATGCATTCATGTTATGGTTGATCCATCCGATGATTGCACGGACAATGCTGCATTGCTGCTGTTCCGTGCTTGTATTTGTTGTCCTCAATCGTCCCTTTGTTTTATGACGACAGGACTCGGTACCATCTAAAATGAAAGCGAATTCATGAGCTTGAAGTTTGCATAATTCTGTCATACCATGTGGTTGAAGACAAAAGTTAATATTGGGGGAGTGAGGACTTGAACACGTGACTTCAAGGACTTGAACCAGCTATGATATCATGTCATAAACCAACTGGTCTCTAGACCTTCAATTTTGAATCCTAACAATAAAACCCTAACTCTAAATCTCTAGCTAAACTCTGTATCCTTCAAATCAAAGTAAAAATTGAATTGTTTTTTTTACAAATTCATGTATTTTATTGTACATCGCATCACAAATGATGATTGGTGTACAATTTATAGTCTCTTAAGTCTCCCTAGTCCCTGTTGATCAATTTCCTTCATGAATTTAATTGATTTCCCTTTCGTCCGCAACAAACTACAGTACCCAGTTTGAATCGGTATTGCTCGTTCCTTGCATCCACACATACATCTGCAGACTGTACACGATTTGATATGTGCACCAAAAGTCATCATCATGACTTGAGAAACTTTTGACGATTTCAAAGTCTTGATCATATGGGTGAATACTGAATAAATGAGATTTTGAAATCCCTCGAGACCCAAAGACGACTCAGCACATGTATAAAATTTCGAGATTTTTCCAATAATAGCACCTTTAAAAAAAAAATTACAAAACTAGCACCCTGTCAAAAATATTTACAAAACTAGCACCCTTTTATATTGACCGCACCCTCCAGGTGCGATTTACACATAAACCGCATCCCCCAGGTGCGTTTTACACATAAATCGCACCTTGAGAGTGCGATCTAATTTGGTGGGCCTAAATCGCACCTTGCCCATGCGTTTTCATGTCTGGCCTACATGAAACGCATGGCCGAGGTGCGGTTTAGGCCTGACCTACCTAAACCGCACCTTGGTGATGCGATTTATTTCTCCAAACATGAACCGCATCTGCAAGGTGCGATTTCACCACGTAGATCGCACCCCCCAGGTGCGGTTTACGTGTCAATTATTTTCCAACACCATCACAGACATGCAGAGAATTATGTACGTAGGGTTGCATGGCAGACTAAAACCGCACCCTAGAGGTGCGGTTTTCACCATTTTTTCCCCTATATAAGACTTGCCGGAAAACAGACTCTTCACACCTCTCATTCTCCCTCGCATTCTCTTTCATTTTTCTGTTGTATATCTATATTTATTTAGTGTGTTTGCCATTAAGATTAACTCGTAAGTTTATTTTGTGTTACTTTTTATGCCATTAACATTAACTCGTAAGTTTATTTTGTGTTACTTTTTATGCCATTAACATTAACTCGTAAGTTTATTTTGTGTGACTTTTTATTGCATTAACATTAACTCGTAAGTTTATTTTGTGTTACTTTTTATTGTTATTTGTGATTTGTGATTTTTATGATATTAACTAAAACTATGGTTTGTTTGTGTGCAGATGGCATTCCGTCAGTTGTTGCTTGGCTTACGGTGGAATGGTTACACGGAAGACACCGGAAAGGGGGCCACCTACGTCGGTGGCAATTTTCAGAAAGTAACGGTCGGTACCAGACCGAAGCTTGAAGACCTCCATCGAATATGCACTGACGTTACTTGCATGGATGGCACGAGGAGGGTAGACCGTATGGTAATTTTATCCCGTAGAAATCGCATCTCCCCGGTGCGATCTCCACGCCAAATCGCATTCCCCTGATGCGATCCCCGCGTCCCGATGCGTTGAACGCGCTGAAAACTGACGCTCCAATTTTCCAGGCGAGAAATCGCACCTCACCAGTGCGATCCACACTCAGTCGCGCGGATTGCTGACGTGGCTATGCTGCAGCCCGTCAGATCGCATCTTAATCGTGCGATCCAGAAGGTCGCTGGCGACCAAATTTGGAACGCATCTTGGGGATGCGTTTTACCATAGAAATCGCATCTTAGGGGTGCGATTTATGAAGGAAACGCATTCTAAGGCTGCGTTTCATTTATAAAACGCACCTCTAAAGTGCGATTCATTAAAATAGGTGCTAGTTTTGTAATTAGTTTTGGAAGAGTGCTAGTTTTGTAATTTTTTTTTTAAAGGTGCTATTTCTGGAAAAATCTCTAAAATTTCCAAGTAGACAGATCTCTAAATGCACTTTAGTACTGATTTAACATGCTAACCAACTACTTGTTCCAAGTACAAGATCAACATTCAGCAGAAGCAAGTAACCTATCGCATCACAGGGCGATGACTGCAAGTCGGGTTCTTTATTTGGGCAGTAAATTGGATTAATATACTTGTATGGCCCGAACTTTTCACATATTAAACTGTTGATTATATTTAATAAAGGTACCAATATGTAATTATGTAGTTAGGGTTTGTGTTAGCAAACCTATATATACTCGGCTGTATGATACTTTGAAAGTTAACGAAATATAATACTAAAACCTGAAAGGGAGATCCTCTCCATAGACTAGGGTCATAACTGACGATACCACGTTAAAAATCTCGAGTGTTATTTACGTTTTAGCTTGTTTGATTGAGTGTTTGTCATGGTATGAGAGCCTACAGACTAATCTTCTTCGTTGGCTAGGTTTGCAGCTGTGGTTTTTGAGCCGACAGCTTTGGATTATTCATCATGTCTACTGCTAGGGTTTCTATGTCCTGGCCTCGCTTTTGTTCTCAGGATTGGTTGCTGATTTGGCTTTGTCTCCAACCTGCTTTACTTCTCTGCGGGTCTTTGTTTTCTTCCAATCATCATCAGGTTTGCTTGTTGTTCGCTATGGATTCTAGGAAGGTAGATATGTTAACCACCAAGCTGGACGGACGAACTTCCCTCTCTGGGAGTTTCAGTTCCGTAGCTTTGTGGTTGGGCGGCGCTTACTCTCGATTCTGGATGGGACTCGTCCCAAGCCTGGGACCGATGCTGCCGCAAAGGATGTGGAAGATTGGGATGGTGGGAATGCTCAGGTGGTTTTCTGGTTCCTCTCCTCCGTCGATATAGGTACCGGGCTTAGTCTCCGTCGGTTCTCGTTTGCATCGGAGATGTGGGCGCATCTTCGTGCGACTTATTCACAGACTAATTCTGCCCGCCAATTTGAACTGGAGACTGAATTATCCTTGTTTCAGCAGGGGATAGGGATATTCGATCTTACTACAAAGGCTTGGTGACTCGCTGGACCGAGTATGATCTTCTTACAATCTCGTTGGTTTCAGCTGCAGCTTCTGTCGAGGTCTTGAAGGAGCGCTCTCGCTCTCGTTTTATGCAATTTCTCAACAAACTTCATCCGGAGTATGAGCCCTTACTGGCATCTTTGCTTCATCGTCAGGTGAGAAGTGTAAAGGAGGCGCTGGCTAATCTACTCCGTGAGGAGACTCGTCTCCGCAGTCAGGCTAAACTGGATAACAACGGTTCTGGTGACTCTGTCTTTGCCGTTGGTAAAGGAAACTCTTCTCGTACTCCAAATAAGTTGTATGGTTCTAGCTCTGGTGATGTTGCCTTCGCTGTTGGCAAAGAAACTTCTCATCGACCTACATATCAGCAAGGGAACAATAGTCTGTTGATTTTTCACTTTTGTAATGAGACTGGTCATATTCAGCCCCATTGCCGACTTCGAAATCTATGCATTTACTGCAAACAGGCTGGTCACATCATTGTCGACTGCAAGGTGATGGCTAAGAGAGGGGGATATGGTCCTAATCA